GATTTCCCCACAATGATATGGGTATTCCCTACGTTTTTTATTGGTTTTCACATAATTTTGCTTCCCAAAAGGTGTTATTATACACACAGGAGGCAGTTTCGACCTCTCCTAGCTTTAATTAGCACCGCCAACGGTACTCGAATCATGTCAGTGCAGCCTATACTCTCGACACGTAAACCACTACGTCACACTGACACCAGTGCCTTTGGATTTAAATTTCAAGGAAGGTTAAGCATTTTCCCATTTTACATTCTGTGGTGGGATCGTCAATGAAGCTAAGTTGTATTTGCTATGGCAATCGACTACATTACTTATTTTTAGTTCACAGGTCGTTTTCGCGAATGCTAGTAAATCATACCCATGTATGCGGTATTCACCGTAGCTATAGTTAATTCAACTTTGCTTCGTCGGCAATCTCACCACAGCATGTGATGAGGGGAAAGGCCTAGCTGCACAAGAAATTCACTTGTGCCTGGTGACCCGAGAGCATTCGTGGCTGTGTGGCGTAGTGATTGGCGCGTCGATGCTATACACTGCACTATCACAACCCGGATTCGAGTCCCGCCGGAGTTGCTGATGAAACCAGCTCAGGCGTGGTCGCAACTGCAGCCCAACCCATCCTAAATGATAATACCTTTTGGGAAGCAAGGCTACGCATATAATTGCGCGAAAATTTAACTATCTTTAATTTATCAGTTTAAGTGCCCTAAAGCTGTCCTTTATACTTCACTTAAATCTATTATTTGCAATACTTCTTAATGGGTATATATAATTTGTTTTTACATTGCTTGCCCTATTCATGACCAACTCCGTCGTCAAATTTCCACGTAATACTATTCTCTCTCCCACTCCTAGTTGTTATCTCTTTATGGTTATAAATTCAAGGATCAACCTATAACTCTTAATCTCTTCTAGTCTCCTTAGAGAAACGATTGATAAAATGTTCTAGTTTATTCCTTTTTTTCCCATAGCCTACTTTTTTGGATAAGAACTGGTAAATGTGTCTGAACAGTAGGAGAGGTACTTTAATCGTTCGGTGGGCAGTTGATCAAGGGGTATACCCCTTTAGTCCCCTTGACGAGCTCTACCTTTGTGCTCTGTACGATAAGGTTCATTGACGATGTCGGCAAAATGTCTGGGAGTTTAGCAATTCAACGGTCCGATGCTGGAAATCATTCTGACTACGGTGGCAAAGGACGCAGTTTTCCCTGTAATCCCGACAAATTTAAGAAAACGTAGTCATGCCAAGTCAGGAAACGGGCCAAATCCAAGAACACACCCAAATGGGTGTATTTTATTTTTCAGCCGTGACTGAAAAAATCGCCCGCTTCTTGCTCACATATCTTTTTTTAATGTCTATCCCTTACAGTTCACAAATGGTCGTCTGGTTGCCACACGATTTGCTTCCCGTCAAATACTGCAGGTACCTTTCCCTCCTTTTACATTTTTTTCTTCCTGCTAGTCGACCACGCATTGCATCCTTTGCCCGAAGCCCTCTGCACTAATCCAAAGCGGTGATTGTCTTCATTGCAGCTATGTCAGTGGAGGCTGGTGCAAAAGGTCTTAGGACTGTTGGCATTGCTTATCGGCCTGGCTCTTTCCTTTTTGTTAGTCTCATTTTTTCTCCTAGGCCTGAGTCTGGCCTGCTTAGCTTCGCTGGGCGCCATCATTTAATCATAGGATGCATTAATTGAGTCGATGTCAAAGGATATTTGATCGCGAAACCCATCTCTGGGTCAAGTACGCTAATAAGATGTTGACCAATCAAGACCTGGTTCCGACTGGTCTCCCCATCATACTAGAGTACATAGTGCATAAACACTATGTCGTTCCCACTCTTCGTGATAGCCCACGTTCATATTGTGTGTTTTATAGACTAGACCATCTTTTTTTAGTTCGTTTTATCCATCGCAGAACTCGGTTCGTCGGCGATCATGCATAGACAAGGTGTACAATCAGCTGAAGCTCTCCTCCTGACGTTCAATTTGTTTAGAGATGTCCAAAATCTGGGCGCATCTCTAGCCTAATCCGTCAGGCGTCTCGTGTATCTCTATGCCTCGTCTACCTCAAGAGGCCTCACTTCGCAGATCTCTTTCTCATTCTTCTTCACCAACTCTAAAAGCCATGTTGAAATTGCCATATTTGATTGAGTAGCACGAAAGTTCCGGATACAATTTCTTTAGCGCACCAGCGACACAGCTCTTGACGCACACGGTCGGCCGTGGTTCTGTGTGGTATGGGGCTTGTGGGCGAGGCAATACCAACGACAGCGGACTGCTGGTTGTCGGAAATGGTATTTTTGGTTGCAGCATTGGTTTTCTGCCCATTCAGGATATAAGCTTGTCAAGTTGAGGATGCCTGAGGATTTGCATCAGGACCCTTTTTTCACTTGCTTAGGTTTATTATTGCTAGTGCATTTTACCATGTCACTTTATGGGGTTCTGGCCACAGTCCTGCTGCTTATGCTGGCTAACCTCCTATTCTTGTCTGTTGTTATGGCCCAAAGCCGAAGCCCCAAGATGTCCTTCACATTGTCGTGCTCGGTGGATCCCTATCGACAGTCGGCTTGGATCTTCAGTTTTGTCAGAGAGCAAAATCGCATCAACACGGAGTCCGGTAGCGGATGCCGGGCACGCACCGTGTGACCGTCATCCTATTCTGTCATGTTGGCTGTCCGTCCTTGTCATCAACCCGCCTCATGTCCACTCGAGTTAACAGCCCTTTCCGCCCATATCACACCTGGCCGCTGGCTTCGGGCCTCAACCACTTTGTTGTCGCATTCTTGACGCCACGTCTCGACCTATAGCAGAACGTTGTCTAAAGGTTGGAACATGCTCGTTTACAGGCTGTCTGGCCCAGTTGTTAGGCTGTCCTTTCTGGCAGCATTAGACCACAGGCTTTCACCGCGCACATGTGCCTACCCCTTGAGCCAGCTCCTCTGGTTTACTGGAGTTGACACGATTTGGGAAAAGCGATAAGGAAAGGGGTCGAAGTGTGTAACCATCACGGGACCGGAGTTATGCGAAAGTCTACAGGTGTTGACAGAACCAGTCTTAGTACATGAAGGCCTCCAAACATGCTTTAGGAAAATCCTATAGGCCAGTAACTTTTTCTTCATTTTCCGTGCCACCTCAACTCTGCGTATTGACAAGCCCCGGTATGGGCTATAACAAAGCCTCTCGCTATGGCGCCATTCTTCCGCAAGTAGTCACTTCGGGCACGGTCTCCCGGCGCGCAGTAGAACCACTCTGGCTTACAGCCAGCAATGCCGGGTTGAACCGTCTCGGCTCCGAAGTCAAGTCCATGGTCAGAGCGCCTCCGGGCCACACTTTTGTCGGAGCCGATGTCGACTCGCAGGAGATGTGGATCGCCGCGTTGATTGGTGATGCCAGTATTGGATTCCAAGGTGAGCTGCAACAGCTTCCATTTGCCTCTAAGACTTGTCTCATTTCACCTCTGCCCGCTAATTTACGCCCCATCACAGGAATTGCTGGTGGAGTTTACATGGTTGTTTCCGCCAAATCCCTGTGGGCTGTCTATAGATTATCAAATGATGTCATCCTTGAATCACCCTGAGGCATTAATCAATTTATGGCCTTTATGTCTCTTAACTTGGTTCTATGTCATATCTGAGCCTATCACCTAAACGCCAGAACCTCCCCTCCCATTTCGATTAAAGTGGCCATCATACATCGAGAGGAACCGGTTATATTGGTGGCTGCTGGGCATGGCAACAATTTTTCCCTGAGTCTGGCGTATATTTGCCGATTAATCACCGCTGGGTGCTCCTATAAAATTAATTCAAATTTAGGGATTAGTAAAACCTGGGACGGCAGATGGTACATAGGCCGGGTAAATTGTGTACTTGGCGAAAGGTTCGGAGAAGTTTTTGTAGTCCTCATGAAAGGTTGAGACAAGCTGTATTAGGTAATTGCAGCATGGATGCTGATAAGCTAATAGCTACGGCTACATTGGAACACCTGAGGACGTCCATACCAGGACAGTCGGAGCACGAAGTGTTGCGTTTTATGTTGTGTAATCCTTGTTTCCAATCAAAATTTAGCTCAATTAATGTTCATTATTGAAAGTATAAGGACCAAGATGGTGTGGCCTTTTTATCATTATTGTTAAGGTAAGAGGCCATGATGGCATCCTATAGTCATCATTAGAGATTTTTCTGGAAAAATTTGCATATTGCATTTAGCCAGTCAGTACCTTTT